TGCCCTGTAATTTGTGCGCCTCAGCATTTTGTGAAATGGGTGATGGTTCCAGTCAGCTGGAGTCCCTGAGGCTTCTACCAGTGGCTATTACAGACTATTTAAAAATCATCACCTCTCTTGTTTTCCAGATTATTCAGGACAGAATATTTAAGCACATATCACGTAACAGCTTAATATGGAACAAACATCCTGGAGGGTTATTTGTACTGCCACAGTATTCCTCATATCTTGGAGATTTTCCTTACTACTATGCTAATCTCGGTGAGTGAATCTTTGCTATAATCTAGTGGTATTTGGAATTGCTAGTGGAAATTTGGAATTTGATCCTTGAGTGGCTTGTGCCAAGTGACTTAACCATTCATTTCTAGTTAATTATGCCTTTTGTTTATCCTGTCTCGATCTTCCCTGCCCACTGTAGACTGGAATGTCTCTAACTCATCAACATGTACCATGTGCCTCTTGCTTGTAAAGATTGTTTTAAAAAATCTATGTCCCTTCATACTTTTCAGTTGCCAGTAATTAATGCCTGAGTTGCTGACCCATTCATGGCCCAAGGGGACACAAAAGAAATAGCTTTTTGCTTTCTTTATTTGTTTGTGCTTGGCAAATTGGGAAAGTGGTAATTTACCCATTACAGTTGTTACTGGAGTGCATAGTTGGTATGGATTTATTCTCCATACTTTGTGTCTTCATACGGATCCCACTAGAAGGAATAAATAGGTCTTAGGTTTGTGGCTTTTTCCTGAAGCAGAGCTTAAATGATGAGTTCTGCAGGGGAATGTGCCTGCAGGCTGAAGTGATCCTGCTTACCAGACTGCTGCTACTTTTGACTCAGCCTGTGCCATCCCACTTGTGTGGATCTGTACTGCTCACCTGCTAAAAATTCACAGTTATTATGTTAAAAAGGGAGAAGAATGTTTCTGTGGGAATTTTGATGAAAAACGACTATGACCCCACACAGATGAATTTAGATGAGATTGAGAGCAATAATGAAGGGTAGACGCCAGTAGGATCTGTTATTTCAAGCAGAAAAGGAAATCATAGCGAGACAAATACATCAGAATGGAAGGCAAGGATACAAGCAGAATTATCAGCTCAGGAGGTAATTGAAGATGCATGTAGATGGGGATCGAGCCAGAAAGAGCAAAAATCTGACAGAGGCTCTAATGGAACTGAGGAAACGGAATAAGCTTCTTGAAGTTGTGGAGATAAAAAAGAAAGAAAACACCGAGCATCCAGAGCCAGGCAGCAAAACAGAGCCAGTGTCAAGAAAGACATTTGGTTCAACAAACTAGATGTCAATATTATCTGTGGGACAAAGTGGACGAGAGAAAGAGATTGCAGGACATCTGTGGAAATAGAAAAGGCAGTAATTGTGTTGCAGTCAGGGATTTCAGAGGGTGTAGGAGTTAAAGGGAACTGTGATCTCCTCTGAGGTATCTGGTATCCTAGTATCTGAGACAATAGGAGATGGCCTAAAAAATATGGCAAGGTTTGCATTGTGCAGATTATTTTTCCACCTCCGGGGTTCTTTAACCTGTACTAACCACGGCAATGTTATCTTTACTGAACATGTATCTCTTCACTTCAGGTCTGAAGCCTCTTTCCACATTCACTGCCGTTATCCACGCAGTAACTCCCCTGGTTTCCCAGTCTCAGCCTGTGCTGAAACTCCTGGTTGCTGTAGCCAAGTCCCAGTACTGTGCACAGGTAAGCAGCGCTGTTTGACTGTCAATCACATTGGAGACAAAACTGCGATCCTAGGGGGAAAAGCCGACTGACTTCTGATCTTCTCAGTCCTGTGCAAACCCCTGTTTCAATTCTGACGTTTCTTTTCGCTGAGATTTCTACTGTCTGTGACCTGCATGTATTGGAAACAAAAGTTCTGAGTATATTGTGAGTGGAATAGAGACGGTAATTAAACCCCTTTGTTCCATGAGGCAGGTCAAATAAAGCCTGCACTTCAAAGATCAGGATTGTGTGTGCTGCAAACTCCGAAAGGATGCCTGTGCCTCAAGAGCCCCTACGTGATCTTC